GAGCACTTAAAACCTGCTGTGCACTGTTCTAGGGGCATTCCCTAACGTCTCTTCTCATTCTTCCAACAAACCCTGAAATGAGGGGACACGATAATGTCTATTTTGCAGACTAGGAAACACGTACAGACAGGAGACTGACCCAAGGTCACACATCTAATTAAATATGTGCAATTTTAACCCAGGAAAAGTGACCCAGCATCAAATTCTCCCTTTGTCTTTGTTTGGATTCCCTGATGGCAAAGTCTGAGACTCAAAGTCTGACACTCGAGAACAAGCAGTTCATGTGGGGGTGAGCCCAGGAAGTTGAAGTCAAAGGGCAGGAAGAGCAGGGCAGCGGGTGAGATAGTGAGGTCGCTGTTGGGGCTGAGAAAGGTCCAAATGGTCTAAAACAGCTCTCTGAATTGTCCATCCATAACAACGGAAGGCGTATTTATTCCCCAGCACTGGTCCCCACGTGTGAACACCCTAACACCTCTGCTCGTGTATGGGCAGAGCTCCCACAGAGATGGATACGAAATGTGGGAGACACAGGAGCTCAGGCTGGGAAGCCGGCAGCTTCCCAGGTGAGTCTGAGCTTGCCCAGAGCTTCCCACCACAGGGCCCAGCTGCAGTGAGCATGCTGTTAACCCGCGGTGTTCTGCAGGCTGGGACCACAAGGGAGGCCTGGGTTGGAGTCCCGGACTAACATGAAGGCCTGCTCAGTGATGTGCACTTGCAATCCCAGCAACTCAGGGAGGCTGAGGGGAGGAGCTCAACATAGCAAGACCCTTGAGTAAAAAAAGAAGAGGTGAGGGAGCTGTGACATTGACATCCAGGCCTTTACTGCATCCTTTCCTCGTCAGCAAACCTCACAGTTGTTCAGGCATCCACCCAGCACCTAACCCGTATGCAGATGGCTCAGAGGAGGCCCACCTCAGGGGTGTGGCTTATCGATCTCACCTTGCCAAAAAGTTGTCCTCAGAGGGACAATCTGGGTGCCTGACACATGAGGGTTCCTCAGAGGCCCTCAGCAGGCTCCAATTGCCCACCACGTTAACCTTCTCACTAACCGGTTACTGGCATTTCTCTCTCCTGCGGTACTTCCTGGGATCACTTCCTACAGCAGACGTGTCTTCCAAACACGGTCACATCTCTCATCCCATAGGCTCTTTCAGAACCTTGCTACCCTTCTCATCAAGAGATAACGTCTAGGGGCCAGCAGGTGGCATAGTAGTTAAGATGCTGGACTCCCACATGGCTGGCTGCGGTTTGAGTCCCGGGCCTGGCAGCTTGAATATCATGCGGGGCACATGTGTGTACATGCCCAAAGTCCCAAAAAGAATGGAAGAGAAAGGATTGCAGTGTGGCCATCCTCCCTGGGGGTGATTTCTCACTTTCTCTCTGTCTCTCTCCAGTGACAGCACACATGCCATGGCAGAAAAACTTTTTTAAAAAGAGGGATAATGTCTATGTCCCTTTCTCTGGAGCCTGGGAGGACTTGTGCCAGCTCCTGGAAGTGAGCTGTTGAAGAAATTCTGCCTTATGATGTCCAAGACTAGATTGAAAAAGCCCATGAAGCTTCTGCCAGGTTCTCCTGGGATGTTTGCTCTCAGAAACCAGTGAACACTCTATGAGGGAGCTCAAGCCATACGGAGAGGGCACACGTCATCATTCTGACCAATGGCAGTATCATCCACCAGACGTGGAAGTGAGAACACCTCCAGATGATCCCAGTCCCAGCCATCAAGTCGCCCCCAACTGTTGAGTCACCTCCCAGCTAATGGCCCAGACACCACAGAGAAGAGACAAGCTGTCCTCACCCACAGAATCTGAGCATAATAAAATGGGTGTCTTATGCCATGCCACTAAATGTTAGGTTGATTTGCTTTGCAGCAATCCAATCAACAGTGGACCAGGAGAGAACAGACTCAGAAGACAGGTGGGTCTCTCTTTCTCTTTTTTAATTTGCCAGAGAGATGTGTACTCTCCAGAGAGAGACAGAAAGGGAGAGATAAAACACCCCCCAATGAGGTATGCTTCTGCTGCAATCTCTTCTCCATTCCTCCACCCTATTGGGATTTGGGACATGCACGCACATGCCTGGGCACACACACACATGCCCAGGATGAGATTCGCAGTCGGCCATGTGGGATCTGGTTCCCTTAACCACTAGGCGACAGGGCCAGCTTACAGATGGGTCTCTTTTAAGAGATCAGGATAGACTACTGTTACTTCGGACATCAGAGCTCAAGGCTTTTCTGCCTTTGGATTTCAGAATTGAAAGCCAAGTTTTCAGGCTTTCAACCAGGGACTTGAAGTCACATCATCAACCTCTCTGTCTCTGAGGTTTCCAGAGCTGGACTGAACCCCACTACTAGCACCTCAAGATCTCCAGCAAGCAGATGGCCTGTTGTGGGACTTCCTAGCTGCCATACTCATGTGAGCTAGTTCCAGTAAATCCCCTGTTATATGTCTATGCAGCCTATCAGCTCTGCCTCCCTGGAGAACCTGAGCTAAGGCAGATGGGAAGAACACGAGTCTTTGACGACATTAGTTAACTGCCTCTTTACCAACCTTGAGATGTACCTCCAAACAGCATATTCAGTGTCCAACAACTCTTCTGGGAAAACAGATCTTAAGTTTAAGCCATTTGGAGCTGGGCCACAGTTTGTTTGTTTTTGTTTTCTTTTTTTTAAGAATGATTTTATTTTAACTTTATTTATCCATTTATTTATTTATTTTAATTTGACCAGAGAGAGATAGAGTTAGAGAGAGAGAGAGAGAGCAAGCTACTAGGTCCAGGACTCGAACCACAGTTGGCCATGTGGGAGTCCAGCACCCTTAACCTCTATGCCACCTGCTAGCTCCTGTTTTGTTTTGTTTTAAGAGAGATTTTTGCTATAGAGTGCACACACTCGCTAGAGAGCAGCGAGATAGAAAGTGAGAAATCACCCCAGGGAGATGGCACACTGCAATCCTTTCTCCCCATTCTCTTCTTAGGATTTTGGGTGCACATATATATCCTCCCTATGTGAGCTTTAAGCCACTGGGTCCGGGACTTGAACTGCGGTTAACTACATGGGAGTCCAGCAACATAACCATTATGCCATCTGCTGGTCCCAGGTCATAGGTATATATATTTTTTAGAGGTTTTTGCTATAGGGCACGTGCGCTCGCCAGACAGAGAGACAGAGAGACAGAAAGCGAGAAATCACCCCGCGGGGAGATGGCCACGCCACAATCCCTTCTCCTCCATTCTCCTCTTGGGATCTTGGGCACGCACGCACACACACCGGCGTGAGTTTTAAGCCACCTGGTCCGGGACGCAAACCGCAGTTGACTACATGGGAGTCCAGCGACATAGCCATTACGCTAACTGCTGGTCCCAGAGAGAGAGTAAGATGGACTCGAGGCCGCAATCCTCCAGCCTCCATAGGTTTTTGCCATAGGGTGGGTGCCACCACATCCATAGGTATCTTAACATACAGAATTTGAGACCAGGAGCAGGGGCCTCAGTGGGCATACCATGATGACAGCATCTGGTCACATCGCTATGATTCCACTCCAGAAACAGTTCTGCCTATAACAAGAAGCGGCTCTAGATGGAAGCATTTCCTTCCTTCTGGGGCTGAAACAAAGGATGATTCAGGTACCCACAAGGATGATACTCCAAGACTGCAGAAATGGAAAGAAAGGTTCAAGTCAAACTCACAATGGCCTTAGCATTCTAAGGTTCTTGAAGACTGGGACCCAATGCAAATGATCTGCCAAATGGAAAGTTATGCCATTCTGGGCCAGGAGGGGAGGTTAAGGTGGCTGGATCCCACCTGTTGACTGGGTCATTGGATGCAGGACCAGTTCCTTGAAAAACACACCAGGTTTGCCTACCCAAAATCCCACAGGAGAATGGAGGAAAAGGCAATGAGGCAGGCCATTCCCTCAGGAGGGGGCAGGGGCCACTTGGCACTTTCCCTCTCTTTCTGTTTGTCTCCCTGCAAGCACACACACTTGAGCAGGCCAATCAGTAATCATACCCTGTAGCTAAAAATTAAAAACAATGCAAGTTATGGAGCGCTTACGTGCACCTTTCAATTCACACTCACGGCCCAGAGAGTCCGACAGCTCTACTTCATTTTAGAGATGGGGTCAGAAGGCGTCAATGACTGGCAGATGGCCACGTGGGGCCCCCTGACCCACAAACCTCTGCTCCCCTCCCCACCATGTCAGTTTCCTCTTGGCAGGTGAGTATGCGTGCCCCACCCCTGTGCCAACAGGGGTGAGAAAGAAGGCAACCAAACTAGTGTGGTCTCCACTGCCCACCTTCCTGCTTGGAGTCCGACATTATGCGGCCCTGGCTTTGGCCTCGGATGATCTGACTTTCATTTTCAGCTGCCCTACCTGGGACAAGCAGTTCAATAATGCACCTACGCAATGACGTGATGAGAGAGAGGGGTTGCTGGCCGTGCCCACTGCTCGTCAGCGCGATTCCAGAAGGCTCCACGTGATGGTCACTGCCGCTGAACCAAAGCAGCCAGCGGTCGGGGAGAGAGCGGACTCCGGGGCCAGGCTGGGTTTGAACCTGGATTCTGGCACTCACTAGCTCCACGACCTTGGGTAAATCTCTTTAAGCCTCTCTGCGCGGCAGCTTCCTCGCCTATTCAATGGGAATGATCACACCTATCTGCATCGTTGTCTCGAGGTTTAAATAAGTTAACACCTGCAAAGTATTCACCACAGCGCCTGGCACAGTGGGCGGGTGGCCCGTCGCATCACTGTTGTCCTTAAGTTTTATTATCACCTCCACGGCCCGTGTTCTAGGGGCGGGCGGCTGGGGCGCCGAGCACTGCGGGTTCTGCCGACTCATCCTCGCTCCGCAGGTCGGGCCGCCGTCCCCCCCCCCCGCTCCTGCGGGGCTGAGTCACCCCGG